GTGATATAACCGCCCCGATTCAGTAGGCTAACGCGGCAGTAGCAACTATGATTTCCGGCTCCGGATTAAAACGCGTTAGCAACAGGTGAGAAAATAATATAGACTTGACTTCTTCAAATGCGGCTTGACAGGTGACCAAACCCATTTACCATCCTTCACCAGAAGGTCATTTAGCGGTCCACTTATTCAACGCATTTTGGCACAAATTAGCTGTAGTGACGGATCAGCCCCAAGAATGATCTGAGCTACGCAACGCTGTCAAGAGGAGGCATCTGTTTGATGGCACTAATGTTGGAAGGATCCTGACAACATCCATGTTTATCGATGATGAAAGCAAGATACCTTACATACTTCACACCGCTATTGCACTTTTCTTCTTTCAAGTGAAACCCGTAGTCACTAACGCAGTTGTGTACTGCTTCCATCCTTTCCTGCAGCTATCTACATGAGTTCCACCCAGAACACTGATGCATCTACTATGTAAGCTTTAGTAAACCTGGTGAACTCTCGTCAGACATTGCGGTAATTATCGCACAAAGCCACACTGACCGTAACTGTTTTCCTCGGGACACTACCACCATGTGACAACTCATGTGCGGGTCAGTCTTTCTCGTTCGGGTCTCAGTACGGTAGGGCCTTTTTCGTCTCCAGTCTCAGCTAGCTTGTACTTCTGGCAGTTAGGCCACGTTAGCCCGCAACGTTCCGAATTTGAGTGGCTACTCTGGGCGCTTGGGGTACTATCTCTGGAGAACGTTAGTTCGTTCCGACTAAGTCGAAAAGCTAGGACGCGTTACAATGCTTTCTTAACACTCAGTTCAGCCGAAGTTTTCGAATTAGCGAGAAGTTTTGTCGACTTACATCCTATGTTTGCGTACATAAAGATACGTCTTTTAACGCTCATCGTAATCAAATGTCTTTCCAACACGTGTTTTACGCCGTATTAGACAACAGCCGATGTACGTTATTAGTTTCGTTGGCGACCGTCCCATGCCGATTTCTTGAACTATCCAGAATTCTCTGCCGGGCTGGTCTCTTCCGTCCTTCAGTTTATCTGTTGTCACTCTTTGATTTCACTTTTTTGTAATGCATGCGTGTCCAATGATTATTGTTATTTTCCGAGTTGCATTGGCTTTCTTCATTAGCTTTTGTCAACAAGTTTGCTTCAGCCCTTTTAGCTTTCAACCATATTTCTAAAATCATTCTCAGAAGCTACCTTTGGATAGCCTCTAACAATGTTTCAACATTTAACATTTTTATATTGTGGTCACCAACTGATGTAACAAGTACACTTAACATGTCTTACGATCTCACTGTTAAGCAAGAATAAATTTAGTACCACTAATCATTCATACATTTGTATGCTTCGCTTCGTCGTATGATACTATTTACTACTCATGATATAACTGTGTAGGAAAAATAAAACAATAGAAATATTATATTATATTACATATTAACCATTTACAATAATATATTTCGGAAATTAGCTTTTGGATAAGGGAGAAGTGTTGGCGGTACTCCGTGGAATACCTGGTCGTGCTAGGCTCAAAGTGTGTTTCCATCTAGTATGGAGCGAACTACGGTTCAGCCACCGTCATGTGTACGTCTGGTAAGCATGGTTTTCCCAATTAGGTCGGAATGCTTCTGCTCTGCTTGATGAAAGAGTGTGGACCGGCCCAGTCGATGAAAGGTGGCTGTCATCTACTTGCCTCTGAGCCTTATTCCTTCGATTGACATTGGATGTGAGTGTGTGAATGGAGCTGTGCGTGGTGCTGCACAAACTACCCATGGTCGCTCTGTAGACGCAGGAGTCCTGTGGCTGTCTCCGTGGAGGCCACAGTGACAGGTAAATCCGGAACTGGATGCCACTTACCATATATATTACATATTAACAATTTTTAGTGACATATTTCGGATATGAGCTCCTCAACAAGTAAGAAGTGTCGGCACTAGTCCGTGGAAAACCAGTCATTTGGATTTATCGCATCAGCTCAAAACCCCACTCAACCTATGCGTTTAATTTGCCAGAACAAGCTTTCACAAACGGGTATACGACCAAGTAAAGCAAAAAATCATTTGTACAGTTTTCTTTAAAACAAAAGCAGGAAGTCTGTGGATTGTTTCTGAAACCTACGGGATGATTTCGAAAAGAGGCCAACTTCAAAGACAACGGTTTTTATAGAGCAAGAAAATGGCGAAAGCACTTACAGCATCTTATGAAATCAGCAAGTTGATTATCAAAAAATGCAGTCTACCTAACGTTGGAGCAATATTATTTTGCCACCAATGCTGTTTGACCTAATGAATATTAATCCACAAGAAGCACTTCAAGCTATTCCGCTCAGAAATTACACTGTATCATCAGGCTCAAGGCTAACATTAACATTTTGACAACAATATTTTCAAGAAATTACCATACCTCTTACTTCCTGACATGCCTTACAGTTAAAAGCCAAAAAATAATGAAATATAATTTTAAATATTAATAACGTCTTTGTGTAAATACCTACAAGTTGCTTGATGTTGCCACACAACAAGTGTTAGCTTGAGGCAGTGAAAGTTAAAATAGATGTTTCTAAGCGAAAGAGCAGTGGTACTAACATTAGAATTTTGCCGTCATAACAAAAGATATTAATATGATCTCTGGTGATCACAGATTTACGTCTGTTAGGCAGTGCGGTTTGCTGGATTTATGGTGAGCGACAGTGAGGGTCATGAGCAATGTAAAGGTTCAAAAAGGGGCCACATTTAAAGGTTGTGGACGCTGATCTACACCATGTGATACCCAGGTGCAGACGGCAAAATGACATTTGGCCTCCGTTCATTACCATGCCCGCTCGTCGAAGCACGTGACAACCGTGGGTGAGTGAGGTACTTCGCCCAACGCTCACGCACAATAGGACATATGTGCATAAAAACGTATCACACACAATTGGGTGGCTGGATAACTGATCCGCTGGACTTCATCCACGTTCTCAAGGCGCGACACCGTCGTCGTCACCCGCAACTAGACTTAGACTCACAGCCCCCATACAATCAAATGCAATGTCTCTATTTTATCATTATTTTCTGTAAAATATGGTCCTTTATTTCGGTGTCTAACCTGATCTTGTAATTAGTCTCGAATTAGGCGTCACTAATTCCCCGTATTCCTTGGTTTCCATGCATGAAGACCAACAATACCAACACTTCGATTTACAGAACGTAAACATTTTAGCCCGTGGAAATTCGAAGCCGGCTGTATAATTATTGGAAGCATGGTATTCTACAGCCAATTCGATTAAGCGACACGCTGAACTAGACGCTATATACACAGCACTGTGGGTGAAAGATCAAATTAATCGACGAAACTTAACGGAACAGAACGCTGGACACGCACGGTAGACGACGACGTTAACCGCAGAGGTACACGTGTTAGCGTTACGAGGGACTAATCAGAGAGATCGATTTCGATGGTCATGTGTCCGACAAACAATCCCAACTCAGGCTGGCGGTTCGTCCGCCCAGGCGATGGATCACATACATGACTACACGACACCAGCACAGTAAAGCTTCGCATTGCACTGCTCTGCCACATGATGGGGCACTAAGGTTGTAGTCTCGGATGGTCAAGAAACGTTTGCGGCAAAACCGTTGAGTTCAGCGAACACCGATCACCAACTGAATAGCTTTGGCGGTCAATATTTGTTTCCATGTCGCAGTTGTCAGTTTGTAGACAGCTTTCTTGTTAATGGAACCCATCAAAACTAGATTCACATTGGAAGGATGGAAGGCGCACGGATGACCAGACCAGAAGCAAAGAAGCAGTAGTACAACTTTTGTGGCACTATCGGCCATCGAATTGGACCTGATTATGCCGATGATTTCTACTACTCAAATTGGTGAAGAAGAGCTCACTGTAATCCTTCACTATAAGGAGTCAATCTAATGCATTTTCCCCATTCCATGAAAAAGGAAAGCATAAATTCCCCTATAACTATTTCATCAAGGATGACGAAAAGTGTAATTTGCAATAGGTTAACGTCCGGATGCTTTCGTCGGTCTCACACGCAATAAGTGTATGGAATTATGCAATTAGGAATACCTAGTAATCAGGTACGGTGATTGGCACATATCGCGTAGTCAGTTTCAAGGGAATCTAACCGACTGTCCCAGTTGTTTCTGTGCAAGTTCGAGCGCACACACACCGGATGGTTCACTCTTACCAGTAGTGCATTGTTAACTGTTGAAATGTTCGAAAGCTGTCGCGCAATGACAGATTGACGGTTAACCGGGGTAACTGTTTACTGGTTAAACAGCAGTTGCATTGACACACCTCGGCGGATGTGATACAGACGAGCTAGACAACTCCTAATGTGTAGTTGTTGGGTGTCGTTCTGCCTCCGACGCTGCCCCACACATTGGGTTTCCTCATTACTCTGACCCTTCAGGCCGAGGTAGCGATAGGTAGTCTGTAACACAAAAATTCATTTTCAGAACTTGCAAGACCATCGCTGTTATAAGCAAGTGTAGTGAAGAATAGAATGACGCGAAACTCACTTACCCATAGCAACGAGCCACACACCATGAGGGGTTACAAGTCGAACCCGGTGATCACACTCAAGCAGTCGCTGAACGAAAGCTTCCAAGAATTTTCGAAATTAGTGATACTACTGATGAGGGTGAACCATCCAGTTTCTGTGCGTGTGCTTGATTCCAGCCCACGCATTGATTATTAGTCCGTAAAACTCTGCACACATTATCAGACTGCGTGATTTTGATACCACAACCTGTAATCCGCACATCCTGACCACCATTCAGTTAAGAAAGCTATGGATTTTGTTCTCATCCATGATTACAAATAGTTCCGCTTGAAAGACGCGATATACTGTGAGCTGCTAAGCAATTACCTGGTACATATTCTCCATCGAGGTAGCAACACGACGCTAATATCACTAGACTGTAATGACCGTTGTATAGCGAGAAGATGGTAGTCAGTTCCGATCTACGCAAAGATAACTTACTCCATTTCTTCTAACCAAATCAAAGATTTCATGGGTTGCACTTTCATTTTCCGGTTGTAATCGCATTAACTTGTACCTTAAAAATGTAAGTATGAGACGCCGATAGTAGACGATACAGTGAATAAACGAGAGTGATACGAAAAGAGATAGATAATCATCGGTGAGAACATGCGGATAACACGAGGGGAACCAAATTCAGTAGCATGGATTTTAATTGATAGCCGCTTTAAAGTGCGCTTGTAACCCATGTACTCGACCTACTACTTATTTGTCGACTTATTCTGTCTATGACCGCGTTTGAATAAAATGATATCTGCGTCAGTCTCTTTCCTAATTGTTTGGAACGGGTGAACAACATGAAGAAACTGCACAAAACCCATCCTCATTCACTAGCTTGGTTGACATGCTGCGGCGAATGACAAATATGGATGAAATAACTTCCCCTTTTACCCAACCTGGTGGTTAAGGAGAAACAGTTATATTCCGAATTCTCGATAGCCGCTTTTGCGGTGTGCAGTAGAAAGATTATAAAGAGCGTTCGGGCTGGGTGATCGGTTTACAGGCCATAAATAGATTGTACATGTAACTAACATGCTAATCTGAAGCTTTCAGTAATGCTTGTCCAGTGCAACTACAGGCGCAGCTGATACTCTCTTTTACTCTCAAGCTTACTGTCGTGTTCAAGCTACATAGATGACGTAGAGGCGGTGTTTTTGTTGGCATACCGCCTGTGGAGTGAAGACGGTAGCGCTCGCATTTTACCGCATATTTCATGGAGCGAACCTCAGCGAGATCAAATAATCTCACCAAATACCAAACGGGCAGTAGCAGAAGAGTCATATTCCTTCATAGAGTGCCCGAGTTACCGGTATCTAGCGACGAAGAAGTCCATTCGCATTACCTGGAAGAATGACGGCACGTCCGTAAAGCTATCTGTGCTAGCGACCTCATCCTTCCGTCGATTACATGGTTACTCATATCGCCCCACTAAAAAGGCAGTGGCTAGAGGATGGGGAAAGTAATGGTTCAGTCTCAACAGCTCCCGGTAAAATCTGTTCCTAGCTGGCAGATACAATGCAACGCACTTTATTCAGAACTACGATTAGAAGCCGTAGTTTTAGAGCTGAGGCCACTGGCTGTTATCGAGCAAACAAGACCACGCGCGACTCAATATAACCACAACAGTGATTCAGAAAACCGTGCGTTAAGATCATTATCTATCGAGAAACCTACCAATAGACTACATACCGCAGATGCAATTGAGACCAAAAGCAGATTGCATTCATGTCGAGATTTGGCAATTCAACCAAAAAACGATTAGGTGCCGACCTCTCATCGGTCGATACTAATCCGTATCATTCATGTGCTCCCAGTCAACTGCTTTTGATATCCGAGAAGCTTTATGCAAATACACCAGTGCCCAAGGCTCACTGAGTAGACTTTCCGGAATGAGACTGCTTCAAGGATCAAAAGCTGGCGACCCCATCGCTATGATAGTGACATGGTTACGTCCTGAGGTAAGTGACATGGAGATCATATTGCCAAACATATCTGTTGTTCGGCACGACCTACCCAACAAAGTTGGAATGGTGGCTCTGTACTTCCGAAGTGACCTGTACAAGGAAGAGCAAAAACAGATTGCATTCATATCGAGACTTTGCGAATCGCAATAAAACGATTAGGTGCCGGCCTCCCAACGGTCCGCGCAAATTCACCTACATATCCTTCTTGCAAAGAGCTTCTGGAGTCCATAATACTTTCCTATCTGTACACTAATGCTCAGGACCTACTTAGTGAACTTTTCAAACTACGACTTTGTCGAAGTGTCAAAGGTATGTGGGCTAATCGCTATAAAGTAGACATGGTTACATCTCGATATAAGTGACATTGAGATTGCACTGCCAGGTGTTATTAGGCACAAGCAACCCAGAAGAGGAGGAGGGCGGCTCTGCACTTCCGCAGTGACCTCCAATGTGAGTCCAAAGAAAATTCGGTCAGTACTTTACATGATTCATTTTGGTACCGTCTACATTTATAACGCAACGACCACTACATGTTAGTGGTTGTTTACCGCTTTCCCTTCTCCACCCCATGGTGGGCTTCTATCTAGCATCCACACTGAGGCGGGTGATAAACTAGACGTACATCTACATTTCTTCCCTGACGAATTCAACATTCATGCCCTGGAATCCCAAGCTGTCCATAAGGAATAGTTCAAAGCGGATCTATGAGAGATGGTCTCCAAGTTCCAGATTTATGGCCACGTTAGCACTCATTAGATTCAGAGTGATAGATACGTCGTCTAAACTGCATCGTATATTCACAAACGACGAACTCATGATAGACAGGATTAACATCAACGTCCCATTGGGACGCAGTGATTATGTAGCATGACCCTTTGAGTAAATCCGTTACGCAGAATATCCGGAGTAGATTACGGATGCAACAAGAACTATTATACGCTACTACTTATAAGTCAAACGCTAGAAAACAAGCAACTACACCACCCTGGCACAAGAAGTATCGGCTAGCGCATGGTAACTAGGTCATCCAGTTGACACTGGCTGCCGAAGCATCAGAAACTAAAGCAGTCTGTACCAGAAGCGTGGTTTTATTTGTACGAAGTAGGACGCGTAAGCATATAGCTGTGCGCAATTCGACCTGGCATAAGTTTATCAACTACTAGCGAGAATTAGATGGCCTATGTGGCCCATCGCAAACGGATTACCGAACCTGTCTGCGAGGACTAAATGTCATACCAGCAGAAGTTGACGATGGGTATGGTCTTAAATCACAAGATGCTATCTCAACAGTTAAACAGGCTACGTAAGGTGAGATGGGAAATTCCTTCTCTTCATACAGCGAACGGAATCACACGGACCTCGAAGAATGAGACAAATACACTGCACCTGCAATATGCTGCGACACTGCGGAACGATCAGTGGCCACCTAACCCTACGATAATGGTTGTCTTAACTCTAACACTTGCTCACGTATCCTTCAAGTTAGGAGCACTGCTCTAAAAGATGTTCAGTGTGAGTAAACACGGCTCTCCTGGATTTGATCATATACACGCGAAGTCAGTTGGGGTGGTATGGGGGAGCTTAGCTAAATCTTTAGCTTGACGCTTCACTGTTTTTACAAACTGTGTGCGCGCAACATGTAGGAACACGGGACGATTATTACTATTCGCAAGGTAGGTAGTCGCTCCGATCCAGCAAACTGCCGTTCGCTAATCTTACTACCGGTACTTTGAATGAGACCATTATTGCTGATGCGCTACCTGCCCAATTGAAAGAGTTGTCACACTTTTCACATAAGCAGCAAGAATCCATACGAAATCCATCGTGCACTACAAATCTGCTGCTAGCACCATCAAATTTGACCGGAGCAGTAGACACTAGTGCAAGAATTAATGTACTAATCAAAATCATTTGACCAGTCGGACCATGACATCGTTCTTTCCAAACTCACAAGCTTCGGCAATGGCGATTCTCCCCTTGGGTGCATCTGAACCTGTCTTCCCCATTGGCGTTTGAAGGTTAAAGTATAAATCTCTATCTTTCCCATCCCAGTCGAATGCAAAGTACCACAGAGCTCGGTTGATCTTGACGTACAACAATGATATAATACACCTCAAAAGCTCGTACTGCTACGCAATGCTGACGTCATCAAAGTGTAGAGGGCGATCAATACGCCAAATTATACTGCACTACTTCAAGCAGAACTGGAAATTGTCTGCGGATGGTTAATGCAGAACGACTTCCGTTCAATGTGGAACAAGGAAGAGTGCTGCACTTACGACGCCCGCTAGAGGGCTGCTATGAACTTGACGACCAGAAGTTTCAAATGCGTTCCGCCGGTAAAGATCTAGGTGTTTTGATTCAAGTCGAGCTTCGCTGTTCAATCAGGATGCAAAGGTATCGAGAAGGGGCATGTACAGCGCAGGCCTTCTGAAGCGTGCGTTCAGAGGCTTCGACCCGCCGACTTATCATCAGCTTCTAAGCTCATACCTACGTCTACACATGGAATACGCAATACAAACTTTATAAGCATGGCTGAGGAGAAATTCAACTGCTTCGGTAATACATCAACCCCGGGCAACCAAGGATATCAAAGACTTGTACCATTTACCATATGAACAAAGCCTGAGAATCTTCGAGGTTTTCAGCGGACGATAATGGCCATTGCACACGTACTTCATTTTCACTTACTAGGTTCTGAAGGACCATAACCACACGTGCCGCCATTAGTTAGAGCTCAGACAATAGTAATCTGACAAACTACCATAACAAGCTGACAGAGCAGTACAGTGGTGTTGAATGCCGCCGGAGTTTCTTCTCATCACGTGTTTGCCAAGCGCAGAATGCGTTTAAGCAATCTATCCTCTGTGCTATCACGCTGGTGGGTCTCATAGCTCGAGTTGACCGTGCGCTCATTTCGCACCACCATATCAAATGACTCACTGCCCATGCCTAAACACGTGTGTCTGTTAGAAATTCCACCACCGGTCCGCTCCCAGAATTCATCTCACCTTTAGCACCCCTTATACCTATTTATCAGGTGACACGGTTTTTATAAACATCGCATTTGTCGTCACTGCCTATGGATCTACAGTTGATTTACCGTTTCTAATAAGTATACCTCGGTGATCTCACCACTGTGAACTTTCATACGCTGACCACTGTTCCAGATTTTGTAATATTCACCCTGACCATTCTACGCGATCAGTTACCCTTCAGCTTGTTTACCCGCATTAAACCATTGTTTCATACCACAAACCGTAGGAGGCTCTAAACGGGAGGCAATTTGAAATGCGCACCCGTATCACAAAAGCTCCTTAACCTGTTGCTCTAAAACTGCAACTCAACGTGGGCTATGCTGTCCGCAATCCGTCCACAGTAAACATGGTTCATATGGACTTCGTCCGAACTTGTAGACTTACAGGGCGCACTGAACAGAGAGTATTTCATTGGTTGACTGGAGCTGTGAGTACCCTTTTGACAGATGCACAGCCCAACATCGTTCTTAAAAGTGTGGTAAAAGATATTTAAAAGAACTTGCTAAATCTCTGCTATAATCGTTATGTGTTAAAGAATATCCTGAAGGGAATTTTAGGCGGATATCCTACATCTCTTATATGCATGAAATCTATCACAAAACAAGCAATGGTCACACCTCAGAGTAATATAGTGTGTCATTTTCAATCTGAGGAGCAGAAGGGTAGTTGAGCTACACATCCTAATTTAGGTGGATCCATCATCCTTAATGCGGAATATCCTGGGACCAAGCGATATTGTGGTGGCCACCAGAAACTATGACACTTCACTGTTTAGGCAGAAACTAACTAAAATCCATAAGCCGGATCTCAAGACATTCCAGGGTTGTTCGACAAAATCCATGTGGATAACATCACTCTTTGGTAGTCAATACAAATCCGTTTTATTTCAAATACCACGACTTATTTTCATTACTCACAGGGGGAAAAAGCCCAAGCTTACCTTTCATAGAGTGATAATGCTCCCTGGATGCAAATAAGAAGAAGGCTCAGTTCCAATACGTACCACATTCCCAGGCTTTAAACCAGGATGCCGAAAATGCGCAAAAGCCGGAAAACCAATAGCAAGCCACAACACTTTTCACATGTAGTTCCGTCCACCGACACCGGTGTGGACGAAATTCAGTGCACAATCTACAGTACCGAGACGGATAGCTTCGATCTGCATTCGGGTTATATAAACAAGTCTATGATGATGACTCCGAAGGGAGTATAATGGCAGATGATTGGCATACGGCCACACCACGAAGCTTCAGAACAGGTTGCCTTCAACAACGGTCGAATGTTTGGTCCTAGCGTGAGGTGTGGATGCGTATACACCTCCGCGCAAATTGCACTCACATGCACACACGCAAAAACACGTAATGATCGCCGGGCCTGGCACCGAACGGGTGCGCGCGACCATGTACGCAAGTACATCAACAGGGCGTAAAGCTGAAACAGCGACCTGTACAATGGCCCTTAACTCTTCCATTCTCGGTGGGTCAGTTTGTCTCTTCTCCAAGTACCGGTCCGATATGTGGTGGGTGATTTTTTACTACACCTCATAAAAGGACGATACTGACTAGCGTAATCGCGGATTTTACCCCCCTTGTTCCACGTATAGTGGCTTCTCCTATTCCAAACAGAAACTAGGTATCAATGGTAAACTTGATGTCAACATCGTTGGATAAACCGACAATTTTCAAATAGGTGCGCGAAGTTTCATCTGTTTTTGTGACAGAGTCTGCAGGTAATGCTTCAAGCAGCTAAACGCGCTTCTATTTGTTTTTTACATCCTGTAGACAAATAACTATCATCTAAAACACTTGATTAAAGTATAATGTAATTCTGAATTAAGTTGCGGTGTTGATTCTAAGAATGTGACCATCCAGAAAATGGCCTATCACGCTGCTAAATACATTGACATCGATATAATATTGTACGCCTGCATAGACACCAAAAGAAAATAATAATTTTAAATTGTGTTCGAAGAATAATAATAAAATGTCGATGTTGTGCTTGCAATACGATTATTGGTTATAATTGTTTTTTTGAACACTGGCTACAAATAAATATTTTCTTTAGACTAGCAGTGCCCATTTCGCTCCCGGTGACAGCTTGTTCCTGTCATGTGCTAAAGTAGGCACAGTGCAGCTTTCAATATGAATCGCATTAGAACCAGACGTACTGCACAGCAAGTATTTGCTCGCTTTAAAGAAGACAACCTCTGATGTATCATTTTTGCATTCCAATGAGATTCATGTTGACGAGGACTTTTCTGGCTCGACATTGAAACCGACAAGGATAACTATGTCAGTAGCAAGTGAAATCGAAATGAAACCCTCCTCACTGCCGGAACCGTTGGGTCAGCATGTTCGGGGGCGCGCACTGAGCTCTGCTCCTGCTACATCGTTCCACGCTTAGGATGGTCCCGATGCTTGTGTACAATAATTGCCAGAACCTAGTACGCATGGGTTATTGGAAATTCTGATTTCCAAAAAGATTACCGGAAACATTGGTTTTCATACAAATTCGTATGATCAACAAAATTCTCTGATAAATATTAAACTGTTTGAATCAGTCACTAATGTAGAAAAGAAGATATTTGTTGGTTGAAACATTCTCATGAGTAAAAAACCACTTACAATTTAAACGGATTACTGGAGCTCAGCTCAAGTGTTGCATAGCAACTAGATCTGCAACCTAATGTTTCTCAAACGATGTGAATGAATGTTATCAAACCTGTATCTAAATGCTTTCGCTTAATTGCCAAAACGAGGGGCAGAAATATTTGACAACCTCTTCCAAATGCAACTATGTTGCATGAAAATCGCCGACAATTTCAACAGCCGTTTCTTACCAAAAGATTTCATTGCTGTTGATGAGTCAATCATAAATTTCAAAGGCAACTCATTAATCAGACAGTGTTCGCCCAGAAAACCGACAAACCGAGGCTGTAAAGTTTGAGTAATGCCAGGTTTTACAGAATATATGCATCGCTTCGTGATGTATACTGGCAAGAATGTAGTTTGGAGCGATAGCTAGGTGAAAGGGTGATGAAGTCAATCACTCAGGATTTACACAATAAGGAACGCAGATCATATTTTGACAATATGTTTACAAGCCCAGTAATCTTTCTATATATGAAGCAGAAAAGATGCATGCTTGCGGAACTGTAAACCCATCAAGAGAAACTTACCTTCATTAAAATGGACAGAAACATGAAACGAGGTGACTGACTGGACCACAAGTGATAGCAGGCTGAGTGGTAATAACTGGAAGGATAAGCGTAGCGTTCATCTCCTTTCCAATTATCATGACCCAGAAGATAAAACAGAGGTTGTGAGAACAGATAAAGATGGATCACAAATAAGTTTCCTCCCCCAGAAGATTTGTCGGATTACAATAGCAGTGTGAATTGTGTGCACAAGTTTGATGAAATGACAGACAAATATGAAATTGATAGGAGAGTAAGAAATGGTGGCAAAGGATCCTTTGGTACTTTGATGATGCAAGTATTATCAATGATCTTGAGATCCATAAGGAGCTAAAGCTACCTAAAATAAACATGAGACTTATGAAAGAAAATATTAAGTGGTCTTGTCATTCATGCTTATGTGACAGCTAGCAAGAGAAAGTCAAACTCTGCAGTACAGAGTGAGGAAAGACTTGTGTGCCAAAGGCAGCTCATTACATCAACTAGAAAGGTCTGCAAGAAGATGTGCGTCCTGTAGCACAAATTTGACGAAGTACGCACACAATGGATGTGTTTCACATGCAAGGTTCCTCTCTGCCTGAGGGAAAGTGTAATCTGCTTCCGGGACTACAATTCGTCTTGAAGGGTAGTGATATAGATAACGACCCACCATATGTAGGCATAAATAGCAAATCTCAAAGTTTTTACACTGTCAACTTCCACGCTGGCTTGCGTCTTTGGTTGTTATTTTTTGGCTGTTCTAAAATTTCTAGTCATGGGTTGCTAACGCCTTTTTAAATAAGTCCTCTGGGCATGCAAGAATACAGTAAAGTGGTTGTCACAAATAATGGGCTTACTGATAACTTAGTCTCCTGAGTCATCGAAACAAATGTTAGGAATATTCGAAAAGGTGCAAAAACTCTTATTCAATTCATAATTAAAATGCCGGTGTTGCTTGTCACCCCTGAATAACTGGCCTAGAAACGAGGCCGGTGGAATTGTAGCATGGGCTTGACTGGGCGGCCCATCCGTCTCAGTCTCACTGTCTCGTATTGATGAGTACTCTTTTCTATCTAACAGTTGTGATAACTGAGTTGCAACTCTGTATTGGGGTTCCTTCTGTGCTCATATAAACTTTCCACGCGAGGCACTTTCTAACGTGAGTGGTGAGCAGGGAGAAGCAACTATCATGAATGTGCCTGTTTGGCTATCAACAACCAGACTTGGTTTGCTCTGAAACCTGTGTTCCTCCGGAAGAAAGTAGTTCTAGTTTCTTTGCGGAACTTATATCATAAGTCTCGCTCACTCCTAGTCATCTTTGAGTAATCTAATCTTGATGCATTATATCGCAATATCATGAGTAGCCCTCTTTAGCTTCTACCTCAAGAACTTTGACTACTATGGCTCACAAAGGGTTTAACTAGGCGCCTCCTGAAGCAGCAGTGGATGTTCGACTCCAACAACATACCTCACGTTACTTCACACCGGTCGGTAAGCTGGACTCAACCCAAGTGAACCATCTACAGCAGTGGGTACCAAACTCTTTTTGAGGTTGTTACTCACAAAGCGGGTTCACTGTCAACATTTACCCCCTAAAAGTTGTAATGTAATATCGAACTACCTCTTACCTCGTGCTTTTTGCATTAAATTTCGGAAAATAGTACTATTTCTAATTAAATTTTAGCATTCAAAAAATACCGCTATTTCTGAGCATTTTTATGAACTTAAGAGGTGATTTACATTAATAAGACGGTTGATATTGCTCAGTTCCAACAACTACTGGTATATTTGATGTGGTTTTGGCTAATACACATCGTAATTGGTGTTCCAGATTCTTTCGGTTCCTTGCTTTAGTGTGTGATCCTTGATTAATCATGAACAAATATCAGTGGCTTATCATTTGTTTTACATATCCCTTCTAAGTTCGTTCTGGATGACAGGTTCCCAACACCACTCTGTATCGATAGGTCTTGAACACTTATCATTCATCATTATATATCCTAGCTACAGGTGCAAAACACCTTAACTATGGTGCCGCAATACAAAAGAAAAGAAAACAAGTGGAACAGAGGCTCGCCGGTTGAGTCACCGGTAAGGGATTGACATCATTCCGGAGAGTTACCAGCCGGATAGTATGCCGCAAAATGTTATACAATGCCTATTAGTTTAGATCGTGCTTGGAGAGGGTGGCTAAGCAGTGGGGCATGGGCAAAGGTACACCCTACACAAACGTCATTGTGATCTGCTCCTAGCCACGTCAACAAGTGTATCCAATCAAACCTGCTCATCGTCCTTCAGTCCCCAACCAGGGAGTCGAGAGACTCCAACCGAGGCCAACTTCGAAGTAAGGGCCTTCATTCCTCTTGACGAAGTCGTCGTTTGGCCACCTCTCTTCTTTTTACATTCACACCCAGCGCGCAAACAATGCACGTCGCGGAAGTCGGTGGCCTGGCATGCACACCACAAGGCCCAGCCGTCGGAGTCCAGTGTGTGAAATAACGGTGCTGAGCGGTTCACTTGTTCTTCCTGCGCCATAAACAAGGCGTCGACCATGTTCATTGCACACACTGCGAAGGCACCGGTGGTCGAACGTAACTAATGTATTTATGTCCGCTGATCTGTGACCACCTATCACAACCGTACAGGATGGTCGAACGTACGGCTGCGTTGTATACTCTAACCCTCAGGAACGGAATGATGTCGCGCTGGCGCCATAGGTGGCGAAGCTTAGCAAAAGCTCCTCAAACTTTTTCTATATGGTTTGTAAATTCGTTTTCCATTCCAACGGCGCTGATACAACTACCTAATTAGTTGAATTTTGAACGACTGCCAGCTGATCCCCACTAACCGTCAGCGCAGCAGGCTGTCCCTGCCAAGCTTGTAGAAAAGCTTTGCACTTGGAGGGTGCAAAGCATAGCCCGAAACGCGTGACAGCCAATGCTAGTGCCGCTGGGCACGTTTGGGTGCTGTC